CCGTCTGACATGCCATCTTGGACCATCTAGGGACATGGACACGAGAGTACTATGGCCACGTAAGGACTGGAAAGGTAGAAACGTTCTGTGAGGGAAGTCCCTCCCCTGGGTCTCTGGACGAGCCCAATGCGAGGAGCAAGACCTCCGAGATGACGCAAAATGGGCCAAGTTGGACCAACACGACGTCCAACATGCCTTCAAGAGGCCTTAAGATGCCGCCAGAACGGCTTCGCGTGGCCACGGAGCTTTCCAACAATGTCCCCAAGAGACGACAGTCACTTTTTTGCACGCCATGCCTTGCGGGCGACGCGGGCCAAACAGGCCGCGTCACTCATCGCTGGCTGGACCAATTGAAATCCGCCGACACTGTCCGCGTGCGTGAGACGTATTTCTGTTTGAGTCGTCGTCGTCGTCGCCGTCGCCGCTCCTCTCCTTTCCCTGGGCCCTCCTTCTCAAGCGATCCAGCCAGACGGCATCAAACAACCTCGTGGTGGATTCGAAGGGAGGCCTCTTCCCTTTGATCCCCTCCTTGCCCCTGGGGGGGGGGGGTCGCAGGGGGTCCCGGGGGGAGTCTGAGGGAGTCGCTGGGGAGGGGGGCCGCGGGAGAGGTCCAGGGGGTCGCGACCTCCTCCCCAGGGGAGACCCCCCCTAACCGAGGAAAAACCCAAACCGAGGAAAAACCCAAACCGAGGAAAAACCCAAACCAAGGAAAAACCCAAACCTAGGAAAAACCCAAACCGAGAAAAAACCCAAACCGAGGAAGACCGCGACATTTCCTCCGAAGAAAACCTCTCTCTCTCTCTCGAGGAAAAAACAATGCCAGACAGTGATAGGGCTCCCTCCCAGGGGGTGCCACTACGGACGAGGAGGACAGGAAAGTGGTGTCCGCCTGTGGGCACGCGGCGCTCAGGACTCCTGCCCCCCCCGCCTCCACGGGGACTTGCCCTCCCCCGGAGGCGCCCTCCTCACTCTTATCCGCTGCTGCGGGGTGCTGCGTATTTTCCCACGCGCCTCCAAGGCCTCAGATCCGCTCCGAGGCGGCTCCGAGCGACCACAGAGCTTGCCAGGAAATCCCCCAAGAGGCCCCCCATCAGAGTCTACGAGGCTCCCAAGAAAGCCCCAAGAAGAGCTCCAGAGCGTCAACGTCCGTCGTCGTCGTCGTCGTCGCCGCCGCCGCCGCCGCCGTCGTCGTCGTCGTCGTCGTCGTCGTCGTCGTCGTCATCGTCGTCATCCCTCTGCAGGGTCGGCGGCACTGGCCGTAAGGCATTCCCAATGTAGACAGCGCGCGCCGCATTATGCGCACGCTGGATAGACCCTTCCCTCGATGAGGGCAACTCAGGCGAGGTCGGATCAAGCTCGGGGCGGAGGGGGATGGAGGAGGAGGAGGAGGAGGAGGAGGAGGAGGAGGGCGAGGAAGAGGAGGACGAGGAGAACGAGGACGAGGAGGAGAATGAGGGTTGCCCGGGAAGAGCGGCGCTGCCCAGATCACGCGCCCAGGGCTTGGCCGAACGGGGTGCCAGCATCAATCTCGCACTTCTCCACGTACGCGCAGAACTCCGCCAGCATCACCACGCTGTCGTTGCCGTACTCCTTGCCCTCGGCGTCCTTGCCGCTGTTCATCTTCTTGAACACCTCCTCGGCACCCGCAGCGTCCAGCTTGGCGGCGTCGCTCAGGCCGACGAAGCCGTGCTTCGCGACTGTCTTGTAGCCCTGCTTCCACTCCGCCAGCGTCATCTTGCGGTCGTCGCCCGACTTGTCCTCGACGCTGCCGCCACCGCCGTCGATGAGGGCGAAGGCGTCGTACATCGCTGCGTACAAGATGAGGTAGGTGCAGAGCAGGCGGAACTCCTTCGCGGTGACGTAGTCGTCCGCGCGGCTCCCGCCGCCGGCGATGTCCTTCGCGTCGGTGTGGGCGCGGATGTAGGAAGCGCGGAAGCACTTCCAGATGCGGGTCCCCTCCTCCTTGGGATCCCCGTCGCATCCCTTCTGCCCAAAGTAGGTGATCAACACCTTCTGGATCCAGCCGTCCACCTCGGCCAGGGAGACGTACCCGTTGCCGTTCGGGTCGCAGGCCGCGAATGCGTGTCCGCGGGCGACCCGGCCCTCGTCCGTCTTGTACGTCAGGCTCTTGAAGACGTCGCAGAAGGTCTGGCAGGCGGGCGACATACCCGGGCTCTTGAACTCCATCTTATCACCGCTGTTGCCAAGGTAGTTTGCGAGCTCTTCGAAGGTGAGCTTCCCGCTGCCGTCCGAGTCGAGCTTCTTCCAGACAGTGTCTATGGACTTGTCGTCGATCTTCGGGTTCCCCTTCTTGAGGAGCTTCGCAAACTCATCCTTGCTGATCATGCCGCTGCCATCCGTGTCCACCTCGGCGAACTTCGCCTTGAGAGCCGCGGCCATATCGCTAAGCGGGGAACTGGCGGGGCTGGCCCCCCGGGAAGCGCCTCGAGCTGAACTGGAGCCGACCCTCGAGTCCAAAACGGCTTGAGCCCAAATGGCTGAGGGCCCAAACTACAAAAGTCAAGGGAAAGCCGAAGTTGCGCAATGATTTTGGACGTGTCGCTCTCTCAGCTTCTGGAAGCTCGAAAAGAGGCCAAGATGGGCTCCAAGACAACCCAAAAGGCCTGCAGAGCGCCCCAAGAGCGCCCCAACAGGCAATTTGTCGTGATCCGATAGGGGGGGCCTGATCGAAAAGGGCGCGCCGCTGGCTAACCCAACTCGGGGGAGAGCACCTCCTCCCGTCCCCCTAGTCCGCCGTCCAGGACTGCAGTCAACCCGTATAAGAAGGACGCACGGTAAGGATGCAAGGGCCTTGGAAGGCCGTGTCAACACTTTACGAGCGGGCGGCCAAGGATGGGCCGGAGGGGAAGGATGCAATGGTCACCTTGGGAAGTCACTCATCCTTACTATGCGGGTTGACCTTACCAGCCTGGAACGTATCCCTAGCCCTAAGATTGACACGCCAAAAGGCGATGACAATCTTAGTAATTCGCCCTCAAAAAATAAGGGAATCCCTAAGATTGAAATCGTGATGAGGAGATGCCCAGCATAGGGATAGGGATATGTTCCAGGCTGGTAATGACCGTACCTACCAGACCACCCCAGTCCAAGCCGAAGACCCACACCTCGAGTTGCGGGGAGTACGGGTTCAGCATGTGTGTGTTTTCAATGCTCCCCGACGCCCCTCCACTGCGAATGGAGGGCGCATTGCTGGCCATCGCTCGGACGTCCATTCCCTGTGTTTTTTTCGGTTTCGTGCGTGGCTTTTTCGCCATATGATCAAGGATGCTCCTCGATGGTCCTCGCCGAAGGAAAAATACACACGTCCGAGCGATGCCAAGATTGGGGCCTTCGGGCTGGGTTGGGGAGATCTGGTGGGTGGCGAGGACCCCCTCCCTCCTTCCGATCCGTCGCCCCCCGCCACCCCGACTTCCCTCCGCTCTGCACTGTTATGTTGCATCCTCGGGGGACCTTGTCTGTCCCGTCGCGGCCCTGCCCGCATCGAATGCGTGTCGAATCCATGTCGGACGCGTCGGATCCGTGTCGCATCCGTGCCGAATCCGCATCGATTCCCCGCCGAATCCGCGTCGAGACCGCATCGAGCCCGCGTCGGGCCCCCCCAAAGGCACCAACTTTTGGGACAGGCGAGGTCCCCCAAAGATGCAGCAGAACTCCCTCCTTCCGATCCGTCGCCCCCCACCACCCCGACTTCCCCTCCGCTCTGCCACTGGCCAGGACAGGTCGGGCCCGAGCGCGCCCGGGAGAGGGCGCGCTCGCCCCGCCCCCCCCCCCTTTCTGCACCGATGGAGGGGCCCCAGGACACACAAAGAAGGGCACACAGATAAAAAGATCCCCCCTATTTTCCCATCTCTTCTGGGTTTCTGTCTTCCCCCCCCCCCACTTCCCATATTTTCCCATGTCTTCTGGGGAATCGAGGACTCATTGTGTCTGTGTGTTTCTTTTCCTCCTGAACCGAGAGAGAACAAGATGCACTGCTCCGTGTCGGTATGCTGCGATGCTTCGGAAGCCGGGCAAGGGCTGCGAAATCCGTGGCTGCTAAAGATCGACCTCCGGGAAATTGTCTTCGTCCTGCCGGGAAGAGGCCCGCTGACCGTTTCCCGTGCCGCGCCTCATTCCGGGAAGCTGTTTTTTCCTTCCGGGAGGGCCGTTTTAGCAGCCACGGTTTTAGCAGCCCTCCCATGTAGTCCTGCGTTTCGCACGACAACGGCGGAACGAAGCACCCCAAGCAACGACATGCCAATCCCCATGGCAAATCAAGCGAAGAAGTACGGAGCCACAAGGCGAGCCACCAGAATGCGCGGAGCGCTGCCACACGTCAACGACAGCAAGTGGCTCGAGGACAATATGGTGCAAGAACCACCGTCAGACCTCCGGCGGGTTGATGTTTCAATGCGTCGGCCTCAAATCGATCGAACAATTCCACAAGGCTGGTTTTCGTTCCAGCTCGTTCTCTGATACGGTAAGTTCGTGTGGCGTCGGTGCGCGCACAGGTGTTTGGACACCGCGTCGATCGTTAAACCTTCGTCTCTGGCGCGCCATCGCTGATGAACCCACCGCAGCCCTGGAGTCGGACCTAGGCCAGAAGAACATCCCTCGAGAACACGAGACTCGGGAGCGGCCAAGAGGGGGGTGTCCAAGAGGGGGGTGTGCAAATCATGACCGGCGGCATGTGCGCCGCCCAGCGGGGGGGGCCAGGGACGTAATGGGACGTAATGAAATAAGAAGAGGCGCCATGATATCTGCGGAAATATCATGACCCCCGCCATGATATCCACCCCCCCCCTAGTCATCACCCCCCTCTTTTCCGCCCCCGAGAGACCCTCCGTCGGCCAAAACAAACAGAGCAACCAACGGGACGCTCCCCGGAAGGCACGAGAACATCCGATCACCAAGAAGAACACCAGGGTACTCCAGATTTCGTGAAAAAGGGAGGGGGGTCTCATTTCGGGGGGGGTCTCTTCCGGGCCATCCTGGAGGGCCTGGGGGGTCTGGGGACGATGTCTTGGAGGCTTCTCCCACGGGGGAGGTCTGAAATGGCTTGTCTTGGAGGGTCCAGACCCCCTCCCTTTAATTACGAAACCTGGGGTACCCTCCCCGAACCGACCTCGTAGAGGAAAAAGAACTATGCACATACACCGATCCTGGCCAGGCCCATCCTGAGCCCAGGATCGGTGCATACGCCCTCCTGCCTTGGCCAGGAGGGCATATGCACCGATCCTGGGTCAAGGGTGGGCCTTGCCAGGATCGTTGCATGTGCATAGTTCTCTTCGCCCGACCTCGATCTGATGCCTCGGTCCGACTGTTATGGAGCCCCCTGAGCCTGGCCTCGGGACGCCGCCCGCCGGGACAAGCCTCCGGCAGGCCAGGGAGCCGCCAGGTCTTCCTCCTCCTCCTCCTCCTCCTCCTCCTCCTCCTCCTCCTCCTCCTCTACTCCTCCTCCTCCTCCTCCCTCCTCTCCTCCTCCTCCTCCTCCTCCTCCTCCTCCTCCTCCTCCTCCCCCTCCCCCTCCCCCTCCCCTCCTCCTCCTCCTCCTCCTCCTCCTCCTCCTCCTCCTCCCTCCTCCTCCTCCTTCCTCCTCTCCTCTCCTCCTCCTCCTCCTCCTCCCTCTCCTCCTCCTCCTCCTCCTCCTCCTCCTCCTCCTCCGTCCCCCCCCGCGCACGGCTGCTGCTGCCTGGAGGCTCACCTCGACGTGCTTGATGATGTCCTGCCAGGGGCAGAGGTCGGGCGGCGGCGCGAGCAGCGAGGAGGAGAGACGGGAGAGGATAAGCGAAATTCAGTGCGAGTGAGAGCTGTGTGTGGAGGGGCGAGAGAGAGAGAGGGGGGAGAGGCGCAGTGCGAGGACATGGAGGAGGAGGAGGAGGAGGAGGAGGAGGAGGAGGAGGAGGAGGAGGAGGAGGAGGAGGAGGAGGAGGAGGGAGAGGAAGTGGAGAGGCAGGAGCAACAGGAGAGAAATGAGGGAGGAATGGGAGGAGAGGGACTAGAGGAAGGAGACGGATGGAGGGAGAGGAGGGAGGGGGAGGGAGGAAGGAGGGAGGGGAAGGGAGGAATGAGCAGAGGGAGCAGGAAGGGAGGGAGCAGGAAGAGCAGGAGCAGGATGATGGTGAGCAGCAGCAGCAACAGCAGCAGGCGGGGCGGGTGAGAAGTGGTTCTTTTGAACGCCTTCCGAAGGAGTCCCACACTGTCCAGGCCCTGGCACTGGTTGGGAAAAGGGAGCGACGTGGAGAAGGATGAGGACGGAAAGGAGGTGGAGGGGAGGGGGTTAAGGGGGTGGTGTGGGGTGGGTGGGGGGGCATGAGCGAGATGAGAGGAAGGGAGAAGGGAAAAGAAGTCGGGGGAGGAGACGAGGGGAGGGTGAGAAGGCGAGTGAGCTGAGTGGCTGTCGCCCCTCCCTCACCCTTTGCCCCAGGCTTGGAATCCAACATCGCATTTGAAGGGGGGGGAGCGGGCTCACCAGCGTTCCCTGGAGACCTCGGAGCCTGGACTGAAGGGGCCCTGAGACACACAAATAAATACACACAAATAAGGATTCCCCATATTTTCTGGGTTTCTGTCTTCCCCCCCCCCACTTCCCATATTTTCCCGGGAATCGACGATTAATTGTGTCTGTGTGTTTTTCCCCTCCTGAGAGACATCTATCCTCTGTGGCCGCCAAACTCCGAAGTCTAAGATGGCTCCCGAGGAGCTCCAACACGCCCGAGAGGCCTCAAGAGCAGCCGAGATCTTTTCATGACGGCCCCGGCCCAAGACGCCGAGAGGAAGCCCCAAGAGGAACCCTTCCAGGGGGCCTCGAGAGGAACAAACAACTGTTGCTCCATTAATTGCTGTGTGACCGTCGTGTCTTCGGCTCTCCCGCGTCTGTGCGCTCAGGGCGGCCCAGGAGGCGCGAGGCGCCCGAGACTGGCCCGAGCCGTCCCAAGGGACCCGCAAAACGGCCCGAGGATGGCCAAAGAGGGCCCCAAAACGGCCCAAGACGCCCCCGAGTGAAGGGGCCCCAGGACACACAAATAAATACACACAAATAAAATGATTCCCCATGCTTTCCCATATTTCCTGGGTTTTTGTCTTCCCGCCCAATTCCCATATTTTCCCATATTTTCTTGGGGATCGACGATTAATTGTGTCTGTGTGTGTTCTTTCTCCTCCTGACCGAGACGGCAACACAGATCGCAGGTGGCCCCAGGAGAGGCCCGAGAGAGGGGACCGGCAAAGGCCTTTTGGAGCCCTCCCCCGAAGGTGGCCCTCGAGGGCCCCAACCAGCTCCGGGATGCCCCCCCCAAAGTCTCCAGAGGGGCCCCACAAAGCCCCTGGGAGCCTTGACACAGATCCAAGAGGCAGCCACCTAGGCCGCCAGCAGGCCTCGACAATGCCCCACAGGCGAGGGGCTTCAAGCATGCCCAAATGAGACCCCGCAGAGGCTCCCGAGAATCCCCCCAAACACCCCCCAGCTGCACCAGAGGGGTCCCAAACAGAGCCGGGAGA